ATGCAAGAGAGGAAACTTTGAACTGGCCTGTTGGCTTTTTACAGTGTGGGGTGTGAGGAAGACCACTGAACAAGGTGCTGTCACATGTTTAGGGTGGTTGATATATGCTCACCAGCTCACCGGTATACCGCACATTATAATATACACATATTCTGGCCCCCTCCACAAGATGATAAGAGCCAGATTTAGTAGTACTTCCTGGAGATTCCTGGAGTGTATATTGTAAGCAAATTTGAGGGATGGAACGCGTGTTCTTCATCGTTCTTCATTACATGCTGTGATTAGCCCACCCCAATCCTTTGTAGGGCTGGACCAGCAAGAACACCTGTAGAACCAAATGTTCAAGTAAGATCAGCTTTTTCGATCAAATGAAGCCTCAAGACACTCAGACGTTCTGACTTTGACAAGAACCAGGCCTTACTTAATAGTAGATTCGGCGTTGATGGAAGGCAGGTGCCCACCATGAATTTCAATTTTTTGGGATGGCCATTCTCCACCCAAGAAGGCTAGATATGGGGAGAACCAGGGAGCGGTTGAACACCGCACTGTTGGAAGTTTACCGGAGCTTTATCGGTGTCGGGGTGCCACAGATGCAAACATCCAAAGACCAACAAGGAAGTCTGTGAAGATGGATGACGATCCAAGAGTTTCATCACGACTGACCCTGGTGAGGACTATGTCGAGAAACGTGAGTTCCGGCTCTTGCTGAAATACACCCGTGAGTATTTCGAGCTCTACCAGCTTTTCAGCCAGATGGGTGAGAAGGCAGGGTCCTGTTGTGAGCATCCGTTTGGTCGGGGTCTATGGAGCCACACACCATTTAGGCTAAAAGGTGACTTTGAGAGGCGAAGGTGACTTTGAGAGACGAAGGTGACTTTGAGATACGGAGTGCTGGCGCACATGAAAGCAGGCTGCACTGCTTGGAAAAGGAGGGATGTGTATGTCATGTGAAACTGCTTGCCGGTAGATCGGTGTTGAGTCCACCTGCACGTGTCAATCATCGTTATTTGCTCGTGCCACGGATGTGGAATGGGTTCGAGCACCCCAGGGAGGTTTGAACCATGGAGAACCTGGGCTGCTCTGGGAAAATCGGGTGACTGGGTGACCACGAGTGACCTGGTCCGAAGTTGACTGGACCCAAATACAGACCTCAATACGCATGCAACAGCATCTAGAATCTAGACCTTAAAATGTTTAAAGAGTGCCTGAATGCTGATTCCGTGTCTATTACTTTCTGTTTTCATTGTTTCCCCTAGCTTGGTCCACTGAAACCAGGCAGGCGACAAGCGCGTGAACCTGGAGGAGTTCAAGACGGCGGTGCCCTTGTTGAAGGCGCTCGTCCTCCAGTTCGGTCGAACAATGGAACCGGGTGGGCAGCTTCGACAAGGGACTCCAAAACATCGCACCTTTTGTGGACCAAAGATCCGGAAGAACTGCAACTGCTCTTTTGTTTCGTTTGTGGTATGACTTGTGGAGTCCAGAACAAAGCACACTAATGTGGTTGTTCTGAATTCCGGTGGTTTTCATGACTTGGATAGCACATGCCCAGCCACCTTCTTGGGCCTCAAGTTCCAAGGAACGAAAGAGGCCGCCCATTCCGCCTCGAATGACCCGACCTGGTGCACCGACGTCATGAGAAGTCGGGAGAAGTCGGACTGCCAGGAATGGGGCGTGGACATTGAAGACCCTGAGGAAACCTTCAAGGCCATTGACAAAGACAAAGGGGGACAGCTACTTGTCGCCTTTTTGGTGTTCAGACTTGATTCAGTAACTGATCGATCGATTTTGGGGGCACCCCCTCTCCCGAAAAGCCCAAAAGACAATCTCAGATACGCTGTTCGGTGCTTCTCTTTGCTTCTATTTCAGCGGGCTCCTGGACTCCTTGTTTTTTTGTGCCATGCCCAGTGGATTGGGATCAACATCACTTGGGCTTCCCCAGGAATCTTTAATGTCAGGTCAGGCATCCTGCTCCTGGCAGAAGCAGAGGCACCGTAAAATAGCTGGTGGTGGGATCATGGCAAATCAGATCATGGCAGTCAATTGGTAAGCCGGCGGCTTTCAGATTCACCTCCTCATCCCTTTTGAAGGTGCAACCAGTTCGCAAGGAACTTCATGCAGGAACCTAGAGACATGCCTGAGATGGTAACCTCAAATTTGTAAACCACCACCTTCAGCGGTTCATACTGATCACCCCAACCTACGACGCTCCAACTTCACTTCCCAGGATTCTCTTTGACGAATTTGCCAACTGGGCCATGAAGGAGAACTTGGACAGCCCAGATGACGACGAGCCCGAGGCCGAGACCGCACCCACCGATTCCGCGACTGTGCCGACCGCGCCTGCAGAGCCTTCCGCAGAGGCGGAGCCCGCAGAGCCTCTTGCGGCGGAGAATGCAGAGCCAGCGGAAGCACCTGCGGCATGAGAGGTCACATGTTGGAGAAGCGCGTGGAATTTTGGGATGGAAAGTGATCGATTTTTCCAGCTGCACCGAATTTTAGCGCTCCAGAGTCGAATGATTCAGGTTGTGCTTGCGCGGTGCTGGGGGACATGTGGAATTTGTGATGGCAAAGCCATTCCGTACAGCTTCTCCGAAAGGCGAAGTTGAAGGGTGATGCTGTCGGAATACCTGATGGCATGCTCACACGAATCAAAGCCTACACGAAGCGTTTCATTGCAAAAGTAGGGGCGCTTTGCGGCAAGGGCATTTTTGTTTGACTGCGCATGGTATGATCAGTTTCACTCTTGAGGCTGCGCGGTGCAGTCCACACACGGCAGCCCTGGGGGTTGTGCCATTCTATTGAATTCTATGGCTTGGCCGCCATGGAGCAGATGAACTCCCCTGACCTGGAAACGACAAAGGGCGCGGAATTTCCTGGCCTTTGCAGTTTAAGACTTAAGACATGACTCGACCCCAAAGAACAATCTGCACACTTCCCCTACTTGTTCCAAGCAACTGCAGATGCACTGGAAGTGAAGGATGCATTTGGGCGAGCTGTGGGAGATCCAATGTGTTTTTTGTTTGGTGGGTTAGTGAGTGAGGCTGGATCTGAACGGTTCGGAGATGTTCAGAGGGTCACAAGGTGACTTTGAAGGACCTTCCCGGCACTCACCTAGATGTGGAACACGGGCCCAGATTTGGAGGGCTTTGGAGTGTGCAGTTCTAAAGTAAAGTGCACACTCCAGCCGAGTTCACTAGCTGGCAGATGCTGGCAGCAGATGGAATTGGAAAACACATCCAAAAATATTTTCCTTCGGAGCATTTCGGAGCACAGGCCAGTGCTTCTTCTAGACTTCAACGGTCAAACTCTTTCAGATGTGTTTTGTGAGAGGGCCCTTCAAAGGGGCTATAGACACCCCGAAGTGGTGAGGCTCTGGCAATCTTCAGGAAAACAGCCACTGGTCTCAAATCAATTCCTTTCTCTAAAGAGAATGCGCAACAAAACGCCTGGCCACTTGTTCATACCTTCTTCTGACCAAATCGACTCGCGAAATCTTCGGTAGTTCTTTGGATCGATCGACATGTCTTCGTTCGATGCATGGGTCAAAACCTGCCGCCAGACAGTCTTTGACAGCCAGGTCACGCCATCACCACACAATTGGGGTGTGTTTTGGGACCCTCTGACGAGGTGTTTATCATCAAATGATTTTTCCTTTGGGTGTTGCTGGTTTCTGTTGCTTCTTCATTCTTCTTCTTCTTCCTCCTCCTCCTCCTTCTTCTTTGACCCCCTTTGACTGTAGCCAAGTCGTGCTGCGGGCACACACGGAATTCATTGGCCCAGACCGAACAAGACATGTCCCACCGAACGCCAGCCTCCCACATCACATCACCATGCAGATCACCACACTTTTTGCAAAAAGTAACAACTGTGAAGATAAAGAAGATCGGTCTCCAACCTAATAGCGATGGCCTCCAACCATCTCAAGTCCCACACTCCATGGGGATCCAGATGATCAGCCAGTTTTTGGCACGCTGCCAGGTACCTTGAGCGCTTCGCCTTCTTCTTCCAGGCTGAGCTTTTTGTGCGCCGTTGCTTCGAAGCCTTGCTGGCCGAACAGCGGCCGGAGCTCGTTGGGGCAGCAGAGGCCATGAAGGCGGGCGACCGTGGGATGCCATGGGTGTGGGACGCCACGCGATCTTTTTCATGGCACATCCAAGAGTGGTATCGGGCAAGAGTGGTTTGATCACCCCCTGCCTTTCAAAATTCAGAAAGGAATCACTTTACGACTCATATGTAGATCAACCACTTTGGCTGGTGGGTCTGGAGAATGTCATAACAGAGGCTTGTCAGCAACCCGTTCACTGCACTTGTTCAGGTTCCAACGTTTGCGCTGTTTTGCTGCAGGTTTTGTTGCCATGTGCGGGGCGACCGTGCCACCGGGAAGTCTGTGGGACCGTGTCTTCAGATCGCACCAAGGAAACCAACATGATCGTGTGGTGGTTTCCGATAGTTCTTTCTATGTTCAAGCTTTACTTGGGATTTCTTGAGATTAGAAGTTACTATAAATCTGTATACTATTGATATGATATACCAAATGTGTTGTCATATGCTTCAAATGAGTTGAAACCACCAGCATTCCTACAGGCTCCAGTCCTTGGAAGATCTTTTCGCAAAAAGCACTCTCTGAGGCGCAGCCGGCTACGGTGTCACACGTCCCCAGGGTCCGGCGTTTCGATTCTTCAGGAGCTTTTCGAAGAGTACCGCTCCGTGAAGCATTTGCCTGAAGAATCCTTGGTGGAGCATTGCTACAAGGAGACCGTGGCCTTTTGACCGGAGTTTGACGGAGCTCCTGCATCAAGGTGAATGGATGCCTTTATTTAGTGACAGTGACGCGCAACGAACAGAGGCCTTTCAGATCCTGAAGGGACGTCATAAAGCCAAAATACATGTGTTTTGCTTGGCTGTGAGGACGACATGTACCTGGAGTTGGACTTGTCGGCGACGTCGTGTTTCATGCCGCTTGGCGGCCAGGCCAGCAAGGATCACATGGCGACCGTGTTGGGCGGTTGCTCGAGCACACACTACTTGGCATGTTGCACGACCGGTCGACATGCACGACGTGGCAACCAATGTAGGCCAACGAAGGTTCCGCTTTTATCGTTTTCCACATTCCACAGTTTGCTAGTTCTCCCAAAGATTTGGAGTGAGGAATTAGATATGCCATGTCAAGTCTTAGGATGTTATTTCTGGCTTCCCAGAACCTTGCCGATCCTTGCCGAGCACGGTTGGGCACCACAGTCCCCCCAAGCCAAGAAGTGCTCCAGAAACGGATTAAGGACAGGTGGCAAGAGGACTGGTAGGTTCCAAGACCACTGGCAAGACTTCATTGTTGCAGTTGCATGTCGATACCTTTCAGCATTCTCAGGTACTGGTTGGGAGTGATAGTGAGTCCTGGTGAGGAAGAGGCTTGACCTGTGCATGTGCTGATCAACCCAGCTCAATTGGAGGGCGTCGTTGTTTTTCCTTGCTTATTGTGCAATCCCAGTCCTGACACCTTTGTTTGGATCCTTTTTAGAATCGAGGAGGTTTGGTGCGGGGTGTAGCGTAAAGCTTCTTTGAGAGCCAGTTTCAAGTGGCTTTTGACCATAGAGAGACTAGTGAGTTCGGGTTGGGAATACGGATCGTCTTGAGTATTGGAATCCTATAGCACGAGTGCGCGCTCGCTTTGCTGTTGATTTTGTGTGTATGTTCAGGGTAGCGGGTAGCCAGGCGCTGGTTGGTTTTGGTCCGGCCACAGGAAACAGATCAGCGCTCCTGTGGTCCCCGACTTTTGTTGCCCGACAATCGGTTGATCTGGGTGCTGCTAGCTCTGAGCAGCATCGAAAAGGGCGTGTTCCTGTGAAGAACAGCCGATGGCTCCTCTCACTGGAGCCGAGCGCCCGGACAAGCTGACAAGCAGGTCTTCAATTGAAAGTGACAATGGAGACCGAGCGCATTTCGCCGCCGGCGCGTCCATAGGGCACCCATCGGAGGTCCGTGTACAGAGACCGATGGAGAAAAAATGGGATTCCGCTCCCCCGGGCAGCCGGGCAGCCGGGCGTCCGATGCACAGCAAGCTAACACTGAGAGAACACACCGCAGGTTCGACATTCCCCCCTGTATACATGACAAGATGTACAAGAGCAGCCGTCACTATACTCTACTTGTAAGTGGGGCTTTCGTGCTGATTCCTCATCAATATCGTGAATAGAGATGCAGCAATTGATGCAGTCCTGCAGCTGAGTTTGGGGTTCCAGACTTTGAATCACCTTAAAATATTTACCGTATTATACCGTATTTACTTTATGTACATTATATAGTGTGTATGTATATATTATAGTCAGTGTAAATATGTGTAAATGTTTATATATATATACATACTCAATGTTCAATGTGCGCTCGGATGCCTACAAGAGAACCAGGCCTGTCCTTTGAGCACTTCCAATTGCTGAATATACCGGAACCATGAATTGCGTACCTGGAGTTCCTCAAACATCCTCAAACCAATTTGGCCTTGATGTAGTCTGAGCACCTTTAACCCGAAGGTGTCCTGCACTCTCGGATTGAACATATCGAACCGGGCTTAAGACGGCGACGTCTTGGGGAGTCTTGGAGTCGTCCGGAATGTGTGAGCCAATTGGAATTGGATGGAATTGGCTAAAGTCAAGGAACACCATGATGTTACTTGTTATTGGAACACTATTGGAACTTGGTCCATGATCTTTGGAACACCTTTTGATGTGAGTTCTCCTAAAGGCGAGAATACTAGGATCCTTTTGGCTACCCCGTCCACCTTTTGGCCCGTTTGGATGCTTAGATATAGCTGCTAGTTATTGGCTAGTGGACGATATTTCTAATTTGGGTGCCAGGCCATCCCTGAACCCACTACAATCCTTCTCGTCATCATGATCACCAAGATCCCCAAGTGCCCTCGACCCCGATCATCGCCCAGCAGCTTTGGAAGTCCCAGGCTTCGGAGGAGGACGAGAAGCTTTGCTGAGACATGGGCAGCTTCGCAGGGTCGAGCAGAGAGGAGAGGTGAAGGGGAAATTGTTGGAATCCTCGGGAGATGATGGTTGTTGAACAAATTACTGGTATTATAGTGAGTCCAGAGTGGTTGGCAAAAAGCAATTTGTTGTGATTGCTTTGGTGGTTTCTTTGGCCAGCAGTACCAGCGTCTCAAAACAAACCCCGCGTCATAGCAAGAACCAGGGTACACAACCACAAAATCGATTTTGGCAACTAGGTTCATTACTGCAATTGTTGTGCCATATATATATATAATATCCCGAAACGCAAAGGTGCGAAATGACGAGTTGAAAGGAGCATTTTTTGTTGAATGCAACCCTTGTCCCAGTTGGGCTTCCGAAAAGGCCGGTTTGGGGTCTTAGTCTTTGGGTTTGATAGATTCCTTCGATTCGACGGTTCGGCAAAAAATTGATGAGATTATATTTTGCCGATCCTAAAAGAAAATAGATCTAAATTAACAATTATAAATATATATTAATTATATATTATTTGAATTTTATCAATCTTAATTGAATCTAGATATCACGAAAGGTAGCCCTTGAGTGAAAGCACCCAACCATGGAAGAGCATGTACATGTGAGGTGGTAAGGTCATGCGGCTCCGCAGTTCGCTCAGCTTGAAAGAAGCGCTTGAGGTGCGCTGTTTGCTAGCTACCGTTCGGTGGTAAACTCGTCGTGCATGGTAGCGGAGCCAGCCGGGGGGGCTCATTAAGAATACCCCGGCAAAGTGATGCCAGAGGATCGTGATTCTGTACCTTCTTGGGATGGCTCGCCTGGGACGTTCGAATCCAATGTAACGGCCTGCAAGTGGTATTCGAAGGGGACCAAAGAGAGCGAGAGAAAGCTGGTAGTGGCCCGTCTATGGAGTAAGCTCACTGGAGCAGCCAAGTCGATTGTTCGATATGCCGACCAATTTGATCATGACGACGGACTGACCCAGTTTTTGGCACTGCTCAGAGAGAGCCCCCTTCAGAGATTACCAGTTCCTGACAGTTTTAGCAGGTTGGACAAGTGGAGCAATCTCAAGAGGACAGATCGGGAAACGGTGGCCGAACTCATTGTAAGGGAAGAAGAGCTGTTCACGGAGCTACAACAGTCGCTGGCACGCGCCCGACTGGATAGGATGTCTCCTGGACAGGATTTTCTGACCTCCCGGACTACAGTGAGAGTTGATCCACCATCGACACCATCAAGGAGCCCAATGTCCGGAAACCGTGCTGGTGAAGACCGAGGTCGCGAGTCAGGCACTCAGACATTTCCATCGGCGGGACCTATCCATAGCGGAATTGTTCAGGGATCCTCAACAGCTGCAACTGGAGATTTCTTTGAAGACGAGTTGAGAGGATATCGTTGCATGTCGGCTGTCGGGTCATGAGCGACAGAATGTTTTGGTGCAAACGGCAAACTCTACAAGTTTTTTGTTGGTTCGTCGAGCATTGAGAACATTGTACAATGATGAGACAACAGATCGAGCGACAGCTGGCACTAAGCGGATCTGGTGGACAGACAATTCCATGGAACCAGATTGGGACGATGGAGATGGCTATGAGGAGCAAGTGGACGACCTCTGGTGGTCAGACTGGTCACCATGGCACGAATGGACAACATCCGATGATGCTGGTACAGAATTCTGGAGCGCAGACGACTGGAGTGAAGACTGGTGGACGGATGATTGGACTAATGAAGAAGACGTATTGCCAGATGAGACTTTAGCTGATCCGGAAGAGACGCAATTGTCGGAGGCCTTTGCGATCGCCAATGAGGCGAATAGAACATTGAAGGAAGCCAGAGAGGCGGTTCGTCGAGTTCGAGCTGCCCGCGGGTACTACGCGCCCGAGTCCAATTCGGGCAAGGGCAAATCAGGAGGCTCATCCAAGTCGAGCTCACCGACCTCCAAACAAGGAAGCAAGAGTTCATTTGGACCATGCTTTGTCTGCGGAATGCGCGGTCATGGTTACCAACAGTGCCCTGATCGCTTTGCCCCCAAGGGCAAGAGCATTGGAGCTGGAAAAGGTCAGAGCTTCAAGGGCAAGGGCACTGGATTTGGGAAAGGAACTGGCTTCAAGGGCAATAGCAAAGGCAAGGATTTCAACAAGGGTTCATTCAGCAAGGGGAAGACATACTACATTTCTGGTTTTTTGGCCCAGTGGGACAATCATGCATCACATGGCAGAGCACCCACTCGTGCGATCTTGGACACCGGGGCAACCGAGAATGCCATTGGTTTGGACTCCCTTCATGACCTGGTGGTGAATGGCAAGTTCCAGTACACGGTTTGTCGGAACGACCTCCCAACCTTCAGGTTTGGCAACGGACACCGTGACCAAGCACTTAGTCGGGTAGACCTGCTGGACACCTCGTTAGGGAGCATTTCATTCTACGTGTTGGGTGGCATGGCGAAAGGAACCCCTCCGCTGATCGGTGCACGAACTCTTCGTGGGAAGGATGCAGTGTTGTCGTATCAGGATGGGAGATTTCTGTTTTTTGGTGGTGACAATGGACCCAACTCCTTCCCCAGGCTCCAAGTGCTTCCAAGCTTTGTGGATGTAGGACCTGGCTGATTCCATAGGCCCCCTCCTGCAAGGTTGTGTGGATTGCTTTTAACAAAAGGTTGTGTGTTCACTAAAGTATTGAAGTTGTTTTGACAACAGCTTGACAACCCTGTCCTCACACCTGTCTCCAAAAAGGCTTGGAGGCAAACCCTTTCCAGCCATGGGCCAAATGCCTCAGACAAATTTTGCTCTTATTTAAGTTGGGTGGGTGAATAAAGGGGTTATAGGGGCTATCCAGCCCAAGTGCACCTGTCTAGTTGCATGGGGCTGTCCACACCAAAAAGGATCAACGCCTTTCAAAACCAAGCCAGGAAGCTTCACCATGCCCCCTTCCAAAGGCCCCTCATGTTCTGCCTCCAGAGGTTGCCAGGATGCCCTCCCGCATCTCCCTTGCCATGTGGCCCAGCACCCTTGCCATAGAAGTCCTGGCCATAGTTGGACATGGCTCTGCACCAGTTGAGGTTGCTTCTAGTGCTTGAGCTTTCAACAAGGCTGTGTGACAAAACATGTTCTTCTGATTGAATGGGGCTGTTCAGCCCATACCAACCCAACTGCTCCATGGGGCTATCCAGCCCAGCTGACCCTACCAACAAACTACATGGAGCTATCCAGCCCAACTCCTCCTACAAACACATGGGGCTATCCAGCCCAACTGCTTTTCACCCTAGGCCCTAGTTAGAACGGGCTATCCAGCCCAACCGCTCCTACAAACACATGGGGCTATCCAGCCCAACTGCTTTTCACCCTAGGCCCTAGTTAGATGGGGCTATCCAGCCCAACTGCTCCTACCACCTATGGGGCTATCCAGCCCAACTGCTCCTCTCTAGTTACATGGGGCTATCCAGCCCAATCCCTGGGCGAAGTGCTCTGCAGCACTTTTTACCAGCCACATCCAAGCACTTCCTAGCTCAATTTCTGGGACTTCCAGGCTTTCACTTGCCCCAAATTCTTTCCTGTTCAAACATCTTTTTCATATGTAGTGCCAACTTCATGCTCTCATCGATGTTGTTGGGGGACTTCACCTGCAACAGCTGCCTTCCATTGACAATCCTGAGAGCCATTGACCCAAGCTTGTTGTAGGGCATCAACTTGAGCTTTTGTTCTTTTGCCAAAGTGAAGGTGTCTGGCAGCTTCTCTGGTTTTTTGTTTCCATTCTTTTTCATTTTGGCAGCTGCTGGTCTATGCAGAGGGCCTGCTCCTGGCCTTTTGAAGGCTTTTACCTCTTCCTTCAGAAGGGCCTTCCTCACAGGAATAGGCTTGGCACCCCTGGCTTCAGCCAGCAAAGAATCCACACTTGAACTCCTCTCTTCCTGTGTTGGGGGAATGTCCATCTCCAGGATGTCCTGTGTCTTCACAGAAGAAGGAGCTGGTGAAACTGGATCTGGCACCTTTGCTTTCTTTTTGGGGGCAGAGCCTGCTGTGGGTAGCACAGCTTTCTTGTTTTCCATGCGAACCAGCTGCCTAACTGCCTCCAATTTCTCCACCTGGAAAGTAGTAACCTTTGAACAGGCCCCTGCAAACTTGCTGTCATCCCTGCCAATCCTCCTGGCATGGTTGCAAATTACCAAGGTGCATTCTGCTAAGCTCTGGGGAAGCATTGCCACCTCTGAAACCTGGAACATCTCCTTGATGACAGGGAACTGCTTCAAGACCTCCTGGTAGCAATTCTTCAGGGTGCTGTACTTGAACTCCAAGCTGGGGCATACTGATCCCAACACCTGCAGCAATGGCAGCAAATCTGCCATAGAGTCACCCTTCACACTCTGGGAAGTTTCCAGCTTCCAATATTTCCCCATGACAAATGCATGCCCTCCAAGCTTCCTGGCATGGCTCAGAAGACTATCTAAGAGGTGCTCCTCATCCACCTCAGGAACTTTGTTCCTTCTAGCACCACCCCTACCCTTTTTCTTGGACATGGTGACAACCTGCACAGGAAGGTTCATGTTTTGGCTGTCCAGCCCAAAAATGACATGGGCTGTCCAGCCCAAAAAGGATAGGCTCTCCAGCCATAACTGCTCATATCTACTTGGGGCTGCCCAATGCTAGCCATTTCTTTGCTTTAACTTTTGAAGCTTGTTCGACTAGGTCAATTTACACATTTTTCTTTTCAACATCTATATGTGAAAAATCAATCGAAAAATCAATCGAAAATTCAATCGAATGCAATAGTTTGAAGATGGAATTTTAGTTTCAAAATTCAATCTTCAATCGAAGACTGAATTTGCTCAAAATTCAATCGATCTATTGAATTTTTTCAATCGAGGATGCTTAGGGAAGGGCCGTTGGGAGCCCACGGCACAAGATGTAGTCAGGAGCTTTGTGAAATGGCTGACGCACAACCCTGCTCCAAAGTGGATCCTCAGTGATGCTGGACCTCAGTTTACTGCAGAACACTTTCTGGATTTTTGCAGTCGATCTGGTATCGGCGTGTTGACCGCGCCTGCAGAAGCGCATTGGATCCTAGGAGCAGAAGAACCTCAAGGCTTCGGTTGGGAGGCTGATCAAAGAAGAACCAACCTTGTCAGTGGCACATGCTTTGGCATTGGCAGCACACGGAGCCAACAACACAATTGGACCTAGCGGTTTTTCTGCATTCCAATGGCTTCGAGGAGCAGCCACGCCACAAGATCCACTTCCCTCAGGACTGGACCCGAAGCAAGCATTTGGAGGACTCCTACGACTGAAGGAGAAAGCAAGAATTGCCTATGAGCAGGAACATGCCAAGTACAAGCTCTCTCGCTTGAACAACGCTCTAGGCCGATCTCCTCAGTCCTTCTCCATAGGAGCCCTTGTGATGCTATGGCGACAGAGGATCAAACCAGGAAAGACATCCGGCAACTGGATTGGCCCAGTACGAGTTCTTCTACAAGAAGGTAGCACCCTATGGCTTGCACATGGAGCAACCCTGATCCGAGCCAAGACGAACCAATGTCGAGAATGCACTCGACGGGAAGAACTTCAGGCCACGCTGGATGGAGTGGCAATCTATCGCCAACCGGTGACGATGGATAGCTTGCTCAAGAGCTTCACCGGAAAGCACTACACGAATGTCACTGGTGAAAGTCCATCGAAGGAGCAGATGATGAAGGACTTGGCGCCCACAGATGTTCGTCTACTTCATGATCCAGGAAAGAAAGAGCAACAGGAGGCCAAGAGGCCGAAGGGGCCACCAGAAGGCAAGATGATGAAGGTGCCGGTGAAGAAGACGATCCAGAAGAAGGGATCGAAACAAGATGAGATGAAGCCGCAAGAAGAGCATCAATCTCGGGAGGAACAACCTGACGAACTACAAGCACCCGAGGAGGAGAAGCCAACAAGTGCTCAAGCGGCTATGACGCCGAGGACCCAGGCGCTTGAGTCAGAGGGGAAGCCAATTCCACCGACTCCATTTCTCCAGGATCAGCCAGATGATGATCCCGCTGCGACAGCAGCCCAATCTTCGAGTGGCAATTGTTCCACTCCTCAATGCAAGCTTCCAGGAGGACATCATGGACCTCACGAGGATGATGTCGGAAGAAAATTCGCCATGTCAACATCTGGCGGAAGAATCAATTTGGATGATGATCCATCTCAACGAGATGAAGATCCAAGTTCATCCAGTTCTTCAAGCTCGTCCTCGTCATCAGAGGAGTTGCGAACGGAGGTGGAAGAAAGGAGGAGGAAAGCCAAAGAACCCCGACGAACAAGGGGAAACAAAAGGAAGGCCGATGAAGGGCCGGAGCAAGGGCAGTTCTATGCCTTGGAGATTGAGGTCTCAGAAGAAGAGTCCAGCTACCTCATGAAGCATCCCCGGAAGGCAGGAATCTTCCTGTCAAAGAAAATGCAAGAAAAAGGAAAAGAACACATGTGGCGAGAACTGGACATTGACCAGAAGAAGGACTTTGATCTCGCTCAGGCCAAGGAGATGTCCAATGTCTTGCAGTCAAGGGCTTTGCGGTCGCTCACCAAGCAAGAATGGAAGGGCCTGGACAAAAAGAAAGTGATGCAGATGCGCTGGGTGTTGACGACGAAGCCCAAGCCAGAAGGAGCCGTGGCAAAGGCTCGATTAGTTGTGCTTGGCTTCCAGCAGCACAATTTGACCCAGGTCCAAGCGGCAGCACCGACTATGAGCAGGATGCTACTCTGCATGGCCGCAAACCGGGGATTCAAGCTACGCTCAGGCGACGTCACGTCAGCCTTCCTGCAGGCAAAGAAGTCGCTAGAGCATGAGGATTTGGTGGTATGGGCCCCACCGGAGCTTGCTGTGTTATATGGTGCCGATCCACGAGACCCTGTCATGCCCCTCAAAGTGGTGAAGGCTTTCTATGGCCTTGTCCATGCACCAAGAGTATGGTATGATGAAGTCTCAACCACGCTTCAGGCCCAGGGATGGAACAAGCTGGTCTCAGATGGCTGCATCTTCACCCTGAAGGACGGGCCGAATGTGGTGGGCTGGATTGGAGTGCACGTAGATGATTTTCTACTGGCAGGCCAAGATGGAAATGAGGTCTTTGACAAGGCCAGGAGTGACCTGGAGAAGGCCTACAGGTGGGCGCGATGGGATGAAGGCGAATTCACTTTCGCCGGCTGCCAAATCACCCAGAAGGACAAGGAGATCAGGATTGGTCAATCCGACTACGTCAAAAACTGGGTGGATGAAATAGAGCTTGCAAAGGAGAGGGCAGCACAGAAGAAAGCTGCAGCAACTCCACAGGAGGTCAGCCAGTTGAGAGGAGTGATTGGTTCCATGGCATGGCAGGCATCCCAAACTGCATCGCAGTTCCAAGCGGATGTGGGACTACTTCTCTCAGAAGTCCCCTACGCCACAGTGGACACGCTGATTCGCACCAACAAGCTGGTCCGCGAGGTGCGCATGGCTCCACAGACGATGGTGTTTCCCCACTGGAATGTGAAGTGGGAGGAGATGGCAATAGTGGTATGGGCCGATGCTTCCAATTCCAACCGGCCGGACAAGAGCTCCACTATGGGCATCGTTGGCGGTTGTGCACCTCAGTCCTTCCTTCATGGATACTCCCAACAGGTTGCTATATATATATACATAAAATATATATTATTTTCGATGTTTATCCTACATGCTGCCATTGCCAATGCACCTGTTATCAGCTCCTCCATCTCCAAAGGGCAATAAAGAAATCAGAATGGGAACTCTCTTCATTAATCTTCATGCTATTTCAGTCTATTTCATTTCCTCACTTCAGCACATGGACAACCACACACATTGCTGAGGTATGGAGCGAACAGACGTGGAAGCGACTCCGGGCCAAGCGAACGTCCACCCCACTGTCCCTAGCGACCGTGGCATTGCTGTGCCTATAGTGCCATGGCACCCGGAGGTTGTACAGAGTTTCCATGAGTTTCCTGCCATTCTTCACAGGTTCCACGAAGACGGTGGGATTTGTTCCATCTACTGTATCCCATTCCTATGGCCTATAGACTATGGGATTCGTTGTGGTTGTTTTGCCTCATTGGTGGTTTCTTTGGCCCAAACCCTTCTTTTAGCAGTCTCTTCAGTTTAACGCTAAGGGTTATTAGGCCTGCGCCTAGTCGCGTGCCCTTACCTTGCCCAGCCCAAGGTGGAGCGGATTGACAGCAACTGAAGCCAGCCGAGAGGCCAATGTCAGTGTTGCTGCCACCGTCGTGATATTTTAGATATATTCCATTATAATTTGTTGATCTAATATTCTATTAACCATGTAGATATAAATACAATTCCGGATAAATTATTATCATTCAGCAATTCTTGATGAACTTAGTCAACTCCCAAACTGACCTGTTTCATGATGTTTCATGCATTGTTGCCGGCGATAGAATATGCATTTGCTTTTGCTTCGACTAATCTTGATGCGTTTCTTTGTACCTAGTAGCGACATGAAGCCTTGCCGGTACTTGATTCCAACTTGAATCGACTCTCAATAGACCAAGTGAGCGGCAAAAAGGCTCTTGTACGCAAACTCAGGCTCTTCTTGGACTTCAGAGTTCGCCACGGACACCACCACAACCTGAGACACAGCATTAAAGGATATTAAAAGTATGAAATCAAATTACTCAGTAGTGGTCGTGGTCCTGGTCCTGGTCGTGGTGGTGGTGGTGGTCGTCGTGGTCGTCGTGGTCGTCGTGGTCGTCGTGGTCGTCGTGGTAGTCGTGGTAGTCGTGGTAGTGGTGGTAGTCGTCGTAGTCGTCGTAGTCGTCGTAGTCGTCGTAGTCCTCGTAGTCGTCGTAGTAGTAGTGGTAGTAGTAGTAGTACTAGTAGTGGTAGTAGTAGTAGTGGTGGTGGTGGTAGTAGTAGTGGGAGTAACAGTAGTAGTAGTCGTAGTCGTAGTCGTAGTAGTAGTAGTAGTCGTCGTCGTCGTCGTCGTAACAGTAGTAGTAGTAGCAGCAGCAGTAGTAGTAGTACTAGTAGTACTACTAGTAGTAGTAGTAGTAGTAGTAATAGTAGTAGTAGTAGTAATAGTAGTAATAGTAACAGTAGTAGTAGTGGTAGTGGTAGTGGCAGTAGTAGTAGTAGTAGTAGCAGTAGTAGTAGTAGTAGTGGTAGTGTTAGTGGAAGTGGTAGTAGTAGTAGTAGCAGTAGTAGCAGTAGTAGCGGTAGTGGTAGTGGTAGTCGTAGTAGTAGTGGCAATAATAGTAGGAGTAGTAGCAATAGCAGCAGTAGTAGTAATAATAGTACTAGTACTAGTACTAGAGTATTAGTATTAGTACTGGTAGCGCTAGTACTAATAGCATTAGTATTTGTAGCACTAGTAGTACTAGTGGTAGTAGTAGTGGTGGTAGTCGTAGTAGCAGTAATAATGGTACTAGTAGTACTAGTAGTAGCAGCCGTAGTGTAGTAGTGGCAATAGGAGCAATAGTAAAGGTAGTGGCAGTCGCAGTGGCGGCGGCAGCAGGAGGAGGTAGTAGTAGTAGTGGTCGTTGTCGTGGTTGTGGTAGTGGTGGTGGTAGTGGTAGTGGTGGTAGTAGTAGTAGTAGTAGTAGATTAGTTATGTCTTGATTTTGTTTGGAAGATATATTTTGGATATAAGTGGGATATTGGTTTCGTAGCAAAGGTTCGTTTATATTTATGGTATCGTTTGATTATAATTATATTTCGGACAAATTTGTTACCAAAAATCGAAGTTAAATACGGCTTTGGGAAAGGTTATATTAAGTAGGAACGAGGTTGCTTGATGGTCTTTACGGTTAAAAAAATATATTATAGCTATATAAATTTAGCTTTCCTATAATAAAATATGATATTATTAATATGTTTTTTTTGTTTTATAAATAAATATATTATCGTTTTCTAAATAAAATGCAAATTCTTTAATTTTAATGTCGGATTTTTTATTAAATACCCTTATATAAATAAATTAGATTATTTAAATTTAATGATCGAATTCGTCGACTTTAATGTTTAAATTCGTTAAATTTAGTGTTCGAATTCGTTAAATTTGGTGTTTGAATTCGTTAAATCTAGTGTTCGAATTTATTAAATTTGGTGCTAGAATTTATTAAATTTAATGCTTAAATTCATTAAAATCGGTATTTAATTTCGTTAAATTTGGCGTTTTTTATCGAGATCTTTGGTGGTGTCGTTAAATTTGGCATTCGATTTTGTTTAATTTCGTGACAATAGATATTTTTTATAATAATGTTTGGCGATATAAATTTAATATTAGAATTCGTTAAAATTGATATTCGATATTTTTAAATCTTATAATTAAAGCTGATGGTTAATTTCGCTTAAACTAGCATTTAATTTCTTTTATAGGTTTTGAATTTTACGAAATCTTATTAATAGGATTATTCCTAACGGCGCAAAAAATTGGTTAATTTATTTTTTATTTCTAAATATTTTTTTTTTTTTCCATCTTTTTTTTTTCCTTTTTTTTTTTTTTTTTTTTTTTTTTTTTTTTTTCACCCTAGATAATTTTTATTTAATAATTATTGATAATTTATTAATATACAATAAACATCGACAATATTTATTATCCTTTCTGTGGATTTCGTGTCACGAAATCGGTTCGCTTGAATATGAGTTCTTGTGCATGCAACTTTTGGCATACCGCCGCTGCTACTTTTCGAATATTGTTCCTACGTAGGGGTCCCTTGAGTCACGACATGATAGACAACGCCCGAAGGAAAAGACCGTTTTCGTTCACGACGTGAGCACTTCGAGCGGCTTTCACGTTGGTTCGCTTTTCGCGTTCTTTCATATTGGTAGGCTCCAGCGCACGCAGCCATGGCGACTAGCCCGAGGCGCGGAACCTCTCGCCCTCCTGGCGGCAGCTCCATGACGAGCGGCGGCGCTGGCGCTGGCAGAGATGTCAAAGACAACTTCGTGCCCCGCTTTGAGAATACCACCGTCGGCTACACCGAGTGGCGACGAAAAGTGAAGTTGTGTGCCCGGAAGCTGGAGCTTCAGGGAAGGAAGAATGAAATGGCACTCAACGTGCTATCCGTGTTGGAGGGTCCATCATGGACCCAATGTGAAGACCTCGACATCCAGGAACTCGAGAAGGAGAATGGCTTGGAGATCTTCTTGAAGCGCCTAGACAAGCAGTGGGCCTATGACTCAAAGGTCGAAATGCCGACCCACTTCGATGCCTTTTTCTTCAAGATAAGGCGCAAGAAAGATCAATCCATCCTCGAGTACACCACGGAGTTCCACCAGGCCTTGAGACAGGTCGCAAAGCACAAAGTCGACCTACCAGAAGAAGTCACAGGTTGGCTGATGTTGCAAAGGACAGGTTTGATCCGCGAACAAGAGCAGCTGGTTCAGACGAACATCGGATCAGCTTTGACCCTGCCTGCCGTGGAACAAGCTCTCTTCCTCATCCTTGGACAAGATCATCGGCATGTTCACGTCCCCTCTCTTCTGAGAAAGCCTCAACTCCCTGGCCGATGGAAGCGACAAGGACAAGTGTTCTATGAGGAGGAGTATAACCATGACGAGCCCTACGATGATGATGACATGTACTATCAGGACGCCCTGGAGTATGACGACGAGCATCAGGAGAGCTTTGATGACTGGAATGATTATGAGTTTGATAGCAACTACTACCAGGATGAAGCCAACGACGATGTGGACAACATGTTCGACACCCAGGAATTTGACGACATCTACAGCACCTACGTGGATGCAAAGAATCGCCTGAATCAACTCAGGCAGAGTCGTGGCTTCTACCCCGTCGTGGCCGTCATGGAGAGTGGAAAAGGTCAGATGCCAGTGATGGCTCAAAGTCCATCAAAAGGCAAGGGGAAGGGCTTAGGGAAGTCCAAATCTCCTACGAAAGGCAAAAACTCATCCAAGGGTGGAAAAGGTCCCACGACCAAGTCTCGAGTTCGATCGGCTATGGTTTGTCTTCGATGCGGCAAACCCGGACACTTTATAGCAAACTGCAACTCCTCTCAAGCAGCTGGCTCATTATCTCCGAAGAAGCGCCTAGCTGAAGATGACTCCATGATTAGCATGGTCTTTCACTAGGAAGAGTTCTTTGATGCCGTCGAGACCTTCGAGCCTGAGATTTTCTATGATCCTGAAGAGGCCCACGCTTAGGGCGAAGCTTTGGTTCGGGCTGGTGGCTGGCTTACTCTTGAGCTTGATTCGTGCATCCAAGACCAAGGAGCATCGTCGTTTCTGACTGGTAGCGAGTACATCCTGAGATACCTGAAGTGGTTGGAAATCCTTGAATTCCCTATGGACGATGTGGTCTGCAAGCGCTGCGACAAAACATTTCGCTTTGGGGGCGATGCGTCTGGTCATGCACGATGGATGGTTAAGCTCCCGACGAGATTGGTTGAGCATGGAGGCCACATCTAGGCCTATGTGATCTATGGCGCAACGCCAATGTTGTTTGGACGTCCTCTTTTCGAAGTTCTATGCTGAAATTGATTTTGGCAGATCTCGGATGAAGCTCCTTCATGAGGATACCTGGCGGGATATCCCTCGTGGCCGTCAAGGTGCGATGTTCTTGCGTCTTGCTGAAGGAATTCATGATCCCAAGGACTTCTTTCCTACAGCCTTCGACCTGCGATGTGAGGACGATCACGATCAAAACCTCAAGCTCAAAGACTTCCTCGATGACCTCAACGTCCACGAGCACTTCTTTGAAATGACCATTGAGGTTCACGCCTACTTTCAGGCTTGTGAAAAAGGAGAAACTCAAGATGACACCACGTACATGGAGGTGGATCACGAGAACTTCATTGACATCCCTCCGGAAGCTGTCACCAAGACCGCCGAAAAGATGGAAAAGATTTACCCCATGTTCGAGGCTCAGTTGGCCGACCACAACAAATGGCTTCAATAGCAAGTTCACCACGCTCGTGAGCATGGAACCACTCACCGAAGACGCCTCATTTGGGAGGTGTATGCCGGAGAAGGTCGCATCACACAATTCCTGGAACAACATGGTGATGTCGAAGTGATGCGCTTCGGCTTGCAGGACGGCTGGAACTTCAATCGTGCAGCCCACAGAAAGCAATTGCTCAGGTTGTGCGATGAGTTGGAACCCGATGAGATCTCCATGGCTCCCAAGTGCACCTTGTGGTCCAGAATGCAGCAAATCAATGTCCAGAATGAGGCCCAAGCTCAGGATCTTCAGGAACGACGTGAAGTCGATCACGAAATTCACCTGGCAATGTGCAAGAAGCTTTATTACAAGCAGGTACGCCGTGGCGACCATGCCCATCTGGAGCATCCATATTTGAGCTTGGCCTGGGAGACCAAACATCTTCGCCAACTACCAGGACATTAGGCCATCTTCGACCAGTGTGCCTATGGCGCGGTGATTGAAACTGACGATGGCACTCTCATGCCCATCAAGAAAATTACAAGATTGCAAACCACAAAGTGGGCCATGTACCAACTGATGTCCAAGCGATGTGATGATCAACACCTTCATCAACGATTCGAAGGACGAAATCGATGTCGCAAGGCAGAGAACTACTAGGACGAGCTGGCCTCAGCCTTGGTTCGAGGGCTTCTCATTGTCGAAGGCCTACACGAACAGGTCTATGCCGTCCATGAAGACGAGAAGGCCCTGACCGGCATCCTGAGAAAGCTTGGCTCAATGCATGGTCATGCAGCAATTCGCACGGCATATCGCCTCCACCGCAACTTGGGACATCCACGAAAAGAGATCTTGGTCAAGATATTCAAGGATCGTGGATGCAGTGAATCTGTTCAAGCAACCGTTCAGGATCTTCATTGTCCCTATTGTGAAGTCCACTCCGTCAAGAAGGGCAATGCACCAGGTCATCTTGACCGCCCCGTTGAGTTCAATGCCCAGCTCCAAGCCGATGTTCTTTGGCTTGAGATGGACGAGATTGGCATGCTTCTTGAACTTGGCCATCGAAAACAGAAGGCCAAGAAGATCGCAGTTCTGGTGATGGTTGATGTTGCAACTCGCTATATGGCAGCTCGCACCATTCCTGACGAGAAGGGCCCGACCTTGCAGAAGGCTCTTAAGCGAACGTGGATTCAGTTCCATGGACCTCCGAAGCAGTTGTATACTGATGAAGGCGCTGACTGGGCTTCGGATGCAACATCATCGTGGTGCGAGCAGCATGACATCGAATTGCGCATCTCTCCTGGACAGGCTCACACTCGCACAAGCATTGTTGAGCGACGCCACCAACTGGTTAGAAAAGCTGTCTCGATCTTTATGCTGGAAAATGAGTTGAAGGGACTCGATGGAGTACATCAGGCATTGGCATGGGTGGTCCCCGCAGTCAACAGCAATACCTTCGTTAATGGCTTCACGCCCTCCCAGTTGGCACTTGGCAGAGAACCTTCACTACCTGGCCTCATCTCCGACGAACGAACCGGACCCTTGCAGCTGCAGGTATCCGAGCAAGAACGTCTTCATCGACGATTGGCCATGAAGTTCTCAGCCCAACAAGCATGTGGCAAGGCCGAAATTGATGTCAAGCTTCGCAGAGCCTTGTTGCGACGCTATGGTGGACGAGACGAAGATCTTCATCCTGGTGAGCGCTGTTTGTATTGGCGTGATGCAGCCGACAAAGCCCACACCATCCGATGGAAAGGTCCTGCAATTGTTTTGGCCATCGAACGCAACCTAGATATTGGAACGATTGCATGCTACTGGCTTGCTCACGGCACCGTGCTCCTTCGCGCTGGTATGGTGAATGGCTCAGATCGGGTGAAAAACAAGCTCTTCATGATCTTCGGCAGCGCCGTGCAGTGCGCATCATCGACCTTCGCAAATCCAACAAAAGATCGATTGATGAGGTGGACCCAGAGATCAATGACCTCGATTACATTTCAACAGACACTGAGGCTCCACCATTGACTATGTCTTCGCCGGCAGCACCCGATGGTCTAGAATCTGGTGATCATCGAGAGCCACCCATATCCCGTGTGAGGATCGAGGCACCTACAACAGAAATTCATCCCTCACAACAAGAAGGCCATGATGAACCACAACTCGAACTTCCTGATCTGCATGATCATCTAGAGTTGGCCTCCGAAGATGAAGAACAACCGATGGATGAACCTCCTCACATGAACACTCCGATGGCTCCTCCAGATCCTGCCCATCTACCACCAGTACCAGAAGACAATGATCTTGATCTTCCAGCTCCCAATGAGCCACATGCAGGACAACATGAAGTACCTCCACAACAGGCAAGCAGCAGTGCTCCTCCTGTGGTTGATGCTTCCTACCATCCACCTGAGACTCCAGAATCCTTTCAGGACCGCCGTCGACGCTTCGATCAACAAGAAACCATTTGGGCAAGAAAGAAGGCCCGTACTGATGAAATCGAAATGGACGTGGATTTGCACTCCTTTGACCTCACCAAGTCCAATGCTCTCCCTTCAGGCTGGCACTATGATGTGAAGAACAATGAATTTGTTTTGGGAGCCACTCAGGACTGGTGGAGCTTCGAAGATGGTTTCCTGATCCGGAATCATGTCTGGGGTCGCACAACCACATATCATCCGGAAGAGTTTCCCATCGACGAAGACCTCTTGCAAACAACCACCGGTTTGTCAATGCAACAAAACTCACGTACGATCTATGTCAACTCCTCCGAAGAGCAGCACTTCAATGAAGCCTGGACTGGGAAGACTCTCTACCCACTCACCTCCACAGGTGCTGAACAGCATGGTCTTCACTACATCGGCGACCTCACCAACAAGTTGAATCGCTGCAAAACCCTGCGGGGCCGAGGTCACATCTGGCAGGCTGTTGGGGCCGATGCAGGCGCCCCCAAGAAGAAGAACATCAAAGAAAGCGCCGACCTCAACGAGAGGCGCATGAGCTTGGAAGACAGACTGTCATTCCTGGAGGGCAAGAAGGCCGAATTGTCAAGTATATTTGAAAATGGTGTTTGGGAGATAGAGATGAACCCGGAGACCGTCGACCACAGCAGAATCATGAAATCCCGCTTTGTCCCTAAGTGGACAGTAGACGGCAAAGGAGGCATGAAGGCGAAAGCTCGCCTAGTCTTGCAGGGTTTCTCCGACCCTGATCTCCTGCAAGGAGCTTTGGACACTTCATCACCCACATTGTCGAGAACCTCGAGACAAGTCCTGCTGGCAATCAGCCAGATCAACCACTGGCAACAATGGACCGCAGATGTCTCCACGGCATTCCTTCAGGGAGATCCTCAAGAACGTGTCCTATGGGCCAAGATCCCCAGAGACGTTTGCAACCTCATTGGAGTCGCCCCTGGAACATTCATGAACTTGATCAAGCCGATCTATGGCCAGGCCGACGCTCCTCGACAATGGTTCATGGTGGCAAGAAGAAGGTTAGAAGGCCTCGGATTCCGTGCCCATCCACTTGATTAATGCCTGTACACCTACTACGACACCAATAAGGCCTTGATCTCAATGGTCGGACTACATGTCGATGACCTACTTGGCTGTGGAAAAGATGGTGCACCAGAATATGAACACCTCAAGAATCAGCTCAAAGAGGCATTCAACTTCAAGCACTGGACCGAAGAGAGTGCTGAGAAACCTCTCGAATTCTGCGGCTGCCACTTGAGTCGGGATGCAACAGAATCCAAACTACATCAAGTTGAATACCTCAAGAACGTCAAGCCCATGACTTGCACCGACTACGATACCAACCGCAACCTCAGCACCAAAGAGCAAAGCTGTCTCCGTGCCCTGTTGGGCACCTTACAGTGGCCAGCAACTCAGACTTCGCCTCACTTGAGCGCTTCAGTCTCTCTGCTATGTGGCGAGGTCACTTCCGCCACTGGTGACACAGCAGCTCAGGCCAATAAGGTCCTTCGCTTCGCAAAGTCCAACAGCGATGCGGCTTTGACCTTCAGAGATCTTGGTGGTAACATGGAGAAACTATGTATGGTTGCAATGAGCGACGCTACATGGGGAGTCCGCCGTAACAGTGAGTCTTAAGGAGGCTATGTGGTGTTCCTTTGCAACCAACAGATCTTGGAGGATGGCTCGACCCAGGACTACACGATCTTGGATTGGCGCAGCTTCAAACTACCTCGGGTGAGCAGGTCTTCACTCAATGCGGAAAGTCAAGCATGTTCAGCTGCGATGGATGCCCTTGAATACCTCCTGATCTTTTGGGAAGGTTGCATACGCCACAACTTCCAGTTGAGGCAGGTGGACGACTTCACCCTAGAGATGGCGTCAGCGCTTGTCGTGGACGCTAAGGCCCTCTATGACTCCCTCAAGGCTGAGACACCGAGCTTGCAAGGTGACAAGCGCACCAAGATTGAGGTGATGGTGACCAAGCAAAAGATGTTGAGCATGAAATCTCGCCTCAAGTGGGTCTCGTCTGAGGCTCAACTGGCTGATGGAGTCACCAAGTTCTCAGCTTGGCAACTCTTTGCCGATCGCCTGAGGTCACACCACATCTCCCTCCAAGCCGACATGAGCTTCCAGGCATCCAAGAAGAAAACAATGGCTGAAAGACAAACCAGTGCTCGACGACATGCCATCACGAAGACCGCCTGGCATTCGCTGTCCTCACCTCACAAATGATTGGGGTGAAAGCTGTGACCATGGAGGACACCCTGACCTTCATGCTGAGCCCGGAAGCAATCATGATCCTCTATACGATGGCACTTGGCATGCTTCTTTGGCAGTTCTTTCGCTGCTGCAGCTCTACTTCATGGCGCTCCTCGATTAAGAGAACCACGTGGACTATGACATCCACGAGCTCTATGGCAATAGGCATGCAAACAGAGAAAGAACCAGAAATTGATTTTAAGATCTTGATGTCCGAATACCTCCGGATTCAGGATATCGTCCGAGATCAAGAAGCTGAACTGTTTGACCTACAGGCTCAATGCTCTGCCCAAGAGGAAGAGATCGAGCAGCTGATCGACACAAAGCGCTGCATGCAGTGCGAGCTGCGAGAGGTTGAAAATGAATTTAGAAAAGCAAGAAACAATTGGATCGATGTGCACAACCGCCTGGCAGCAATCCAAGATGATCTTGCCCGAGAATGGCTGCCCCGGACGCTCTTTACCACCAAGAGCGGAAAGTCCTTTCACACGACCACTGAGTGCCAAGCCTTGTCTTCAGCAGACCATTCGCAAATGAAGCAGTGGAATTGCTGTGCTTACTGCGGCCAAAAGGCCCTTGAGAGGTGGCGCATTGACATACCACCAGCTTTGTTCTAGAACAACCACCGGTGTGGATTTCGTGCCACGAAACCGGATCGCTTGAACATGAGTTCTTGTGCATGCAGCTTTTGGCATACCGCCGCTGCTACTTTTCGAATCCTGCTTCTACGCAGGGGCCCCTTGAGTCACGACATGACAAGCAACGCCAGGGTTGCGCGCAGAACGCAGGCGCAAAGGTAGAAATGTAAAATTTAATCAGATGTCATTGAGTCTAAATCAGGGAACCTTTCAACCTTTACATTGGCACAATCCTGTCAAGGAAAGCATGACAAATCCAACTCTCCCACTCCAAGCACGCCGCGCCACGGGCCATGTTGAAAAACAACATCATGAGCATTTAACCCCTTGATATTTAACTAGTTTTGATGTTGAACTTTGTTTGCGCTATCTTTTGCTGGTCAAAGCGGGCCGCACTTTTCATGCTCAAAGACGGGGTTTTGGGCCTCAAACGGACCATGTCTACAAAGACTCGACATTTTGCTTAAGCGGGCCATCCTTACGCAATTTCGATGCTCAAAGACGCGGCTTTGTGCTTAAACGGGCCATGTTTGGGCTTAAGCGGGCCATGTTTACGCAATTTCGATGCTAAAAGACGCGGGTTTGGTCCTTAAGCGGGCCATGTTTACGCAATTTCGATGCTAA